ATATTATGGTTCATCACGAAGCCTTTATAGCTTGGTGGCAGTGATTGAAGAACTCTGTCAATGACACTATCATCAGGAAGATTAACTCCCAATTGAGTCAAGTGGTTATGGTACCCAGACATTCTGAGTATATGTTCACTGACACAACTATTATCCTCCATTTTGCAGCTGTAGAACTTGTTGGAGACTTCATATCTCTCAACTCGGGCATTTGCTTGAAATATTAACTTCAACTCATGGAACATCTCATATGCTCCATGTCGTTCAAAACGTCTTTGAAGTCCTGATTCTACGCCGTAAAGCATGGCACACTGAACTATCGAGTAGTCATCAACACGCGTCTGCCAGGCATTCACAATTTCTACAGTTGCTGGCGCGGGTGGTACACCTAGCGGTGCTTGGAGGACGAAATTCTTTTGTTCAGCAATGAGGATAATCCTCAAGTTACAGACCCAGTCCATGTAACTGCTACCATCATCTTTCAACTTAGCTTTCTCTAGGAACACATTAAAATGCAAAGGAACGGTAGCACGGGCCATTGATCTACAATAACATAGACATGCAAAATAACTATCAGGACTAAGCTCATGATAAATTAAAGTTCAATTAATCATATTACTTAAGAACTCCCACTTAGAAAGACATCCCTCTAGTCATCTAAATGATCATGTGATCCAACTCAACTAAACCATGTCCGATCATCACGTGAGATGGAGTTGTTTTCAATGGTGAACATCACTATGTTGATCATATCTACTATATGATTCATGTTCGATCTTTCGGTCTCAGCGTTCCGAGGCCATATCTGCATATGTTAGGCTCGTCGAGTTTAACCCAAGTATTCAGCACGTGCAAAACTGGCTTGCACCCATTGTATGTGAACGTAGAGCTTATCACACCCGATCATCACGTGGTGCCTCGGCACGACGAACTGTAGCAGCGGTGCATACTCAGGAAGAACACTTATACCTTGAAATTTAGTAAGGGATCATCTTATAATGCTACCGCCGTACTAAGCAAAATAAGATGCATAAAAGATAAACATCAATGCAATCAAAATATGTGACGTGATATGTCCATCATCGTCTTGTGCTCATGATCTCCATCACCGAAGCATCATCATGATCTCCATCGCCGGCGTGACACCTTGATATCCATCCTAGCATCGTTGTCGTCTCGCCAACTATTGCTTCTACGACTGTCGCTATCGCTTAGTGATAAAGTAAAGCAATTACATGGCGATTGCATTGCATACAATGATGCGACAACCATATGGCTCCTGCCAGTTGCCGATAACTCTACTACAAAACATGATCATCTTATACAACAATTTATATCACATCATGTCTTGACCATATCACATCACATCAAGCCCTGCAAAAAGAAGTTATACATCCTCTACTTTGTTGTTGCAAATTTTACGTGGCTGCTACGGGCTTCTAGGAAGAAGCGTTCTTATCTACGCATCAAAACCACAATGATTTTTCGTCAAGTGTGATGTTTTAACCTTCAACAAGGACCGGCCATAGTCAAACTTGATTCTACTAAAGTTGGAGAAACAGACACCCGCTAGCCACCTATGTGCAAAGCACGTCGGTAGAAGCAGTCTCATGAACGCGGTCATGTAATGTCGGTCTGGGCCACTTCATCCAACAATACCGCCAAATCAAAAGTAAGATGTTGGTGGTAAGCAGTATGACTATTATCGCCCACAACTCTTTGTGTTCTACTCGTGCATATAACATCTACGTGTAGACCTGGCTCGGATGCCATTGTTGGGGAACGTAGTATTTTCAAAAAAATCCTACGATCACGCAAGATCTATCTAGGGGATGCATAGCAACGAGAGGGGAGAGTGTGTCCACGTACCCTCGTAAACCAAAAGTGGAAGAGTTTAGTAATGCAGTTGATGTTGTCGAACGTCTTCGTGATCCAACAGATCCAAGTACTGAACGTACGACACCTCCGCGTTCAGCACACGTTCATCTCGATGATATCCCTCGTTCTCCTGATCCAGTTGAGGACGAGGGTGAGTTCCGTCAGCACAACGGCATGGCGACGGTGATGATGATGTTACCGGCGCAGGGCTTTGCCTAAGTACTACGATGGTATGATCAGGTGTGTAACCGTGGAGGGGGGCATCGCACACGGTTAAGAGAAACGTATGTGTTCTACGGTGCCCCCCTGCCCCCGTATCTAAAGAAGGGAGGGGGGGCCAGTCGGCCCTAGGGGCACGCCCAAGGAGAGTGAGTCCTACTAGGACTACTAGTCCTAGTAGGATTCCTCCACAAGGAAGAGAGGGGGAAGGAAGGAGAGGGAGAGGGAGTAGGAAAGGGGAGCGCCGCCCCCTTCCCCTAGTCCAATTCAGACCCAAGGGGGAGGGTGCATGGCCAGCCCCTTGCGGCCCTCCTCTCTCTCCACTAAGGCCCATGGTGGCCCATTACTTCCCCGAGGGGTTCCGGTAACCCCTTCCGGTACTCTGTTTTTACCCGAAACCACTCGGAACTCTTCCTGTGTCCGAGTAACATAGTCCAATATATCAATCTTTATGTCTCGACTATTTCGAGACTCCTCGTCACGTCGGTGATCTCATCCGGAACTCCGAAAAAACTTCGGTCATCAAAACACATAACTCATAATGCATATCGCCATCGAACGTTAAGCGTGTGGACCCTACGAGTTCGAGAACTATGTAGACATGATCGAGACACATCTCTGATCAATAACCAATAGCGGAACCTGGATGCTCATATTGGCTCCTACATATTCTACGAAGATCTTTATCGGTCAAACCGCATAACAACATATGTTGTTCCCTTTGTCATCGGTATGTTACTTGCCTAAGATTCGATCGTCGGTATCTTAATAGCTAGTTCAATATCGTTATCGGCAAGTCTCTTTACTCGTTCTGTAATGCTTCATCCCGCAACTAACTCATTAGTCACATTGCTTGCAAGGCTTATAGTGATGAGCATTATCGAGAGGGCCCGGAGATACCTCTCCGATACATGGAGTGACAAATCCTAATCTCGATCTATGCCAACTCCACAAACACCTTCGGAGACACCTGTAGAACATCTTTATAATCACCCAGTTACGTTGTGACGTTTGATAGCACACAAGGTGTTCCTCTAGTATTCGGGAGTTGCATAATCTCATAGTCAGAGGAACATGTATAAGTTATGAAGAAAGCAATAGCAATAAACATATTGATCATTATGCTAAGCTAACGAATGGGTCATGTCCTTCACATCATTCTCTAATGATGTGATCCCGTTCATCAAATGACAACACATGTCTATGGTTAGGAAACATAACGATCTTTGATTAACGAATAGTCAAGTAGAGGCATACTAGGGACCATATGTTTTGTCTATGTATTCACACATGTACTAAGTTTCCGGTTAATACAATTTTAGCATGAATAATAAACATTTATCATGATATAATAAAATATAAATATCAACTTTATTATCGCCTCTAGGGCATATTTCCTTCAAGTTTCGTTGAAAAGCGATATATACGGTTGGTCTACGGGACATGTTGGAAAGTGGCTTTTATACTCCAGTAATGCTCCAAGGTGCTTATTGGCTTTTACTAATATATAACTCTTCTTTGACTTTTCCCGTTTTGTATTATCTTCACATGTGTAAAAAATGTTTTTCTACCTTGGAGCCATCGTTCTTCGTGCTTGTGCACTTGGTTCTCACAGGTACACAACGAAACATAAAGATACACTTTCTAACAAGAAGAGACCAAAGGCACGCCAGTGCCAATAGTCAATGCCGCAAAATTTGCAATACCTTATATAAAGCGGTGCGAAGCCTTTTTTGGTAAGTTTGATGTGGTTGATAGTAGCTATCCAGCCTCCCCCAAAACTAACTAAATAAAAATAGTCTGACAATTACTCTTGTTTTTACTTGTACACGTGAAATATTATGATATGCTCTGAACTAAAACAAAAAACACAACAAAACATTATGTAACAATCTAAAATAAAACAAGACAAACTTAGACAAAACTAGTAAGCGTGACAGGAACCTCCAGATGACAACGGACGACTCGTCGGATGTGGCAATATCAAAGTGTTCGTCGTGTGTACAAGGAATTAAGATGGTTGTAACTAAACAATAAAATAATGAAAGGAAAGGATTTGGGAGAGAAAGGAGCTATGCTAATCTTACAGTAATTTACACGGAAAAAAATGGTCACAAATCAAAACAGCCTTGTACTTTATCGGTGGTTTAATGGTTGACCACGCTGCACTTCTTCCTGATCTTACCCTGGCTTTCAGTGAGCGGTTTGGTGTTGCCCATCTTGATCATGGAGGCGGCGAAGTCGGCGAAGAACTCCAAAAACTTTTTCTTTTCAAAATCAATGCAATCATATGTCTAAATTTAGAAGTCAGGTTCAAATTAAAAATAAGAATGGATTTTTTTAATAATAGAGAAAAAATATTTGCCAACAGCTCCCGTGAGGGCTGTCGGCATAGATCTAACGGTGGCAGCCTTTTGTCAGCCAATGGGATGTATGCCGACGGCCACCGTTGGCGTCCATGGGGGTTTGCCGATGGCTGAGGTTTACCCACGTCGTGAGTGTATATGACCCGTCGGCTCACCTTTTGTTGTCGCCAAATGCTCTGTTTCCTGTAGTGTCAGGTGCACATGGGCGGGTGAACCCATGGGTCGAATTGTCGGGTTGAGCTCTGAGATCAAACAAAAAGTAAACAATCTGAAATAAAGCAAGACAAACTTAGACAACACAAGTAAGCGTGACATGAATCTCCATGTGACAACGGACGGCACATTGGATGTGGCAATATCGAAGTGTTTGTCGTGTGTACAAGGAATTAACATGGTGGTAACGAAACAACAAACTAATGAAAGAAACAGATTTGGGAGAGGAAGGAGCTATAGCAATCTTACAGTAATTTACAGCGAAAAGGGGATGGTCTTGAATCAAAACAGCCTTGTACTACTTCTTCCTGATCTTAGAGTAATTTAATGGTTCACCACGCTGCACTTCTTCCTGATCTCGCCCTGGCTGCCTGTGAGCGGATTGGCATTGCCCATCTTGATCATGGAGGCCGCGAAGTCAGCGAAGAACTCCTCCTTGAAGGCGCCGGTGGCGTGGCGCTGGACATAGGCGCGGGTGAAGGGGTCGGTGAGGAGGGCACCGTCGGAGTGGAAGAGGCCCCTCCGCTTGCTCACCAGCTTGAAGTAGTCGGTGTCGAAGGTCTTGAAGCTGCCGGGGTCCATCTCCACAAGGGTGGTGTTGTCGTTGAGGCTGGCACACTTGCTCTTTAGCCGCATCATGTACTGTGGCTCCAGCGTTGGGTCGATGTCGCTGGGGTTTTCCATGCCGGTGAAGTTGTAGAGCCGGTCGGAGAAGGAGAAGCAGTGTGACGTCCCGATCGTGTGCCCGGCGGAGAGGACGACAAGGTCCTTGGCGTCGAGGTTGACAGCGGCGAAGAGCTGGGTGAGCACGGTGAAGTTGGAAGTCGGGGGTGGCAGCGCGTCGGTCTCGTTGGATATGGACACGCTGCCGTCTCGCCGGCCTAGGGGAACTGTCCAGAATGGACCCTTGCTCTGGAAAACCCATGATCGAGTAGCATTAGCATTTGGCTTCCACATGTAACGTGTCATTTCATTTGCAAAATGGCCTGGTACTCTACTCACCAGCCATACTGCGTCCCTGGCAATGAGGGCGAGGACGTCGGCGCAGGAGACAGTGTCGGGACAGGCCTTCTCCACGGCGGCCTTCACCCTCTCGACGAAGCCGAAGCCACGGAGCGTCTGGTTCGGCTGCACGTCCTTCTCCGCCGTCTTGTTGGCCGAGTCCAGCAGAACCGAGCCGTCGCACCCCTGCATCCACGGTGGTCAGGCCACTGCACAAAACAGGTTACGGACAGACAACATGCATGCAATGCTGCTTACCCTGACGAAGCAGTCGTGGAAGTGCATCCGGAGGAGCGGCCCGGCGAGGCTGGGCGCCAGGGACAGCGCCCTCACCATCTCCCTCCTCACGACGTCCTCCACGCTGGGGCACGACTCGCTGTAGAACTTCTCGTCCAGCTGCGCCCGCGCGCACGTCGCCGCCACCGCCGCGAGCATCAGCGCCACCATTGTCGCAGCCCTCGACGCCATCTTCTCGCCTCTCTCCTTGGCTATGCAAGAAACGACGATGGCTAGGTGGCTGATTAAACAGGGGAAGCTTGAACTGCTGCTGCTGCTCGACTGGCGCCCGGGAGATATATAGCGCCGGAGTGTCCCCACGCCTGCATGTGGTGGGCTGTCTTCCGGAGCAGTAGGTTCAATTCGCATGGTTTAATGGGTTGTTCCTTGTTTGCACTCTGCGGAATCTTTGCCGTGGCAGGTACACCGGCGGCCACCGTACGTATAATGGAGGCGGACGGACAGCCAGACGGAAGCACATCATTAGATCAATTCACTAACTTTTCTCTAGACATCAATCTACTCACTTAACTTACTAGTTAGTTGTCACGGAGCAAACTGCGGTGCCAGGTTGTAATCAACAAAGGATACGGGCAATGAGTGAATAATGCCACCTACTGGTGGTTCGAGACACGGAAATCCCATGGTTCGTATGTTTGTACCGGCGCCACATGCTATCCCCAATGAGACCAATATATACACTTTGTTTTTTCAGGCAATGTACATATCAACATACTTTACTAGGTGTCTGTGTGCTCGCTTTAGCCGAGGAAATCAAGGTTCAGTTTCAAGGAAATTTCACATATTTTGGTGTGATCTGAAATACATCTAACCCTGAAATATTGAGCCACATTCAAACTAATTTCAAAATAAACTTAAACTAGATTAGAATTAATTAAAAGTTAGAGAATTTTAAAAATCAAATTCCAAAAGAATTTTGAAAAATCAGATTCATTAAAAATAAGTGAATTTGAAGAAGCAAAATCCAGAAGAACTTTGTCCGAAATTGCTTTGTTTCCGAGATTAAAAACCTTATCGAGGATTAGGATAGTATTATGTCTTTGTCGAGGCACTGGCACAAAAGCCCAAGAGAATTTGAATGTCATGTTTTGCTCAAAATATAATTTGAATAATGATGTTTATATTCCACACTTTGTTAAATTGATATTTATAAATTTGGAGGGCTACCTTTTGTTTGTTTCAACCTTGACACGTGTTTGGAATTTGTGCTGACTAAAAACAAAATTGTGTTTTTTCATGTCTAATAGGTGTATGAGAGCATCTACAATCGGACCTCCCATATCCGCCCCAAACTGCCGAATGGGCTGCCCGGTTATTGTCCGGACGCAAAAACGGCATCCAACTAGTTGTGCCGTTGTAGCACTTTCGTGATAAGTAGATTGTTGAACCCACATGAAGCAAATTTGAAGACACCACCAACCACGCAACTACGTTGTCTGTGCAGCTATGTTCGCACCCAAACCATAGTTTGGAAATAGCCTATTCTCTCGGTTACTTCCGGAACGATAATAAACAGAGTTTTTTAACTACACTACAAACTAGGACAGAAAATATACTAAACAAGAACACAAAGTAAAAAAGGGTTATACTTGTAGGATTGAATTGAGAAAAAGGCGGTATCTAGGCTTTCGGTGTCACTAGTATGAGAGGAGCGTCTTACTGGCATACAAATATTATAGACTAATAAACATTCTCCCATGGTTGCATTCCGCGATCTCTCACTCATAGGTGTACAAGATATAACATTGTGTCATGGTCACACACAGCTATCAATAATACACAACGGAACCAAAGGATCACAAAGTTCATATATCTACTCCATGTACGTGCAAATGCTATACATGCAACGCGAGAGAGGGTAAATACCAAAGCCGCGAAGACTAGTTGTGCGTACTAGATCACACCTCAACCTCTAACCGGATCAATTACTCAAACATAGATGAAGAGACACACAAAGATGAATGATTCATTAGTGTCATCAACATGTTCAATAAAACAAAATACAAATGTGATGACGAAGATGGATATATATGGGCACTGGAGCGCCTGGCCAATGGCCAGGGTCCGGTGATGGTGGAAGTGTCTCCTTCTCCTTCTCTTGTGTGTCGCTCGTAGTGATGGTGATAGAGGGAGAGGCCTCCCTCTAGATGAGATGGGAGAGCCTCGCGACATCTGGTTGGAGTTGTGGTGGAATGAGGATGATGATCCCGGTGGCTAGGGTTGGTGTTCTTCTTATGCGAGACCTCCTCGGATCTCCTCCGTTGATGTAGATCCTCCACCATTATAAAAGGGTTCTAGAGGAGTCAAATCTTCACGCAATCCTTCCTTATTGGACAAGGGTCTCATAGGAACAAATGGAACAAAACCGGTGTAGAATCATGTCCAGAAAGACAAATTTTGGTGGAGTTTGGAGCTCATACAAGCGTCCATACGACCAGCCACGGTCGTATGGAACACCATCTTTGGTTGTGGAAACCTCCAGTAAAACGGACGACATTTCTTCATATGAACTCGGAATTTGATCTCTTGGGCTCGTTGGATTTGTATGAACGACGCTGATCCATTTATGATTTTGGATCTTTATTTGGAGCACTTCGGAAAAATTACCTTTCTGACCTTCGAAATGCCTAAGTCTGGCGCCTGGAACTTCTTTGGTTTAACCCCAACTTCATCTTTTCAATGTGCTAAGTCCATGAATATGCCAAGATACCTAAAAGGACCAAAAACAAGGGGAACTAATAAAAACTAAATAAAAATAGAAGTTGTGCAACGAACTTGGTAACACTTGTAAATACCGGAAACTATGCATTGAGGACATAAATAGGTTCTAGATGCATATGTTATGAGGGATTTTTGCACTAAAATAGACTCTAAAATATGAATAAAATCCACTCATAAACTTCCTCTAGCGTAAACCTTGCTCGTCATCGAGCAGGAAGGTCGATAAACCAAAGTTATCCATCTAGCTGATTAATAAGATTATTGCCCATGGGTGTATCCTTGTATTCTCTGCAACCTACAAGTAAGACGGATCATATTTATACAAGGTAGCACATACTCGCTTATCTAATCTCACTCCACTTAGAGCTTTAGAAAAAAATTCGATGGTTCTTATCAAAGTTTAATCTAGCATGAAAACAAATACTTGGATCTCTTACTTAATAGCTTATTCATTTATTTTTATTTTCCCTTTTTTCTTTTTTAATAAACTTGAACACAAGGAGTTGCCAAAAATTCAAGATATCACTACTGGAATCAGGATCTTTGCCGTCAGCCATGGCTGACGGCAAAGGCATGCCTGGCGGACGGCAAAGACCTTTGTCATCAGCCAGCAGATGGCAACAGGTCCAGCTGAATAAGCTATGGCAAAGGCCTCTTTGCCGTCTTCTGGCAGACGGCAAAGATGCAAAGGCCTTTGCCGTCTGCTGGCAGACGGCAAAGAGCCTGGACGGCACACGTGGCAGTTTAGGTCCGTTAAGGGGTTAACGGTGTGCTTTGCCGTCAGGTGGCAGACGGCAAAGGCCTTTGCATCTTTACTGTCTGCCGGTGGACGACAAAGATGCAAAGGTCTTTGCCGTCTGCCAGCTGACTGCAAAGCTGCAAAATAGGCCAGCCCACTGCACCCCAGGTTGCATAGGTAGCTGCCACGTGGCAGCTTTGTCGTCCGGTAGCAGACGGCAAAGTGCCTGTATAGCCTCAGTTTTTTCTTAAATTCATTCAATTTGACAGAAATTCACACACACACACACACACACACACACACACATATATATATACATTTCAAAATAATTTCAACAAGCATACCAACAATAAGTTTCCAACAACATATCCAACATACAAGTTTCCAAGAACATATCCAACATACAATTGTTTCCAACAACATATCCATATATACATACATATCCAAAACAAGTTTCCATATACGGAAAGGAAGCACAAGTAGAAGAGTACACTCCATCAATGCAAGCTTCTGCATTTAAAGCAAATCTACAAATTAGGAAAGATGAAAGTTAGAAGAAGAAGAAGACTAGCTAGAAGAAAAGGAAGAAGAAAAAGAAGAAGAAGAAGAAGAAGAATTTATCTTCTCTTTCTTTTTCTCCTCTCCTCTTCTTTATCTTATTCTTCTTCTTCTAACTAACGTAGGTAAAAATGCCATTTTTAGCTAAGCTAGGTAAAAATGCTATGTGTGTAGGTCATTTTAGAGCTAAGCTAGGTAAATAGGTCATTTTGGAGCTAACCTAAGTAGTTATGTCATTTTTGAGCTAACTAAGCATATTTATTCATTTTGGAGGACAAAATGGGAAGTGTAGGACATTTTGGAGCTATCCTAGGTAAAGCATGTCAGTTCGGAGCTAAGTAAGGTTATTATGTCATTTTCGAGGAAAATAAGCGAAGTATAGGTCATTTGGGAGCTAAACCAAGGTTATTATGCCATTTTTACCTAAGTCAGCTAATTATGTCATAAATGAACTAGCTAAGCTAAGTATAGATCATTATTCAGCTATCCTAGGTAGTTATGCCATTTTTTACCTAAGTGAGCTAATTATGTCATAAATGAACTAGCTAAGCTACTCATAGATCATTATTGAGCTATCCTAGGTAGTTATGTCATTTTCTAGCTAACTAAGCATATCAAGTCATTTTGGAGGAAAAATGCTAAGTATATGTCATTTTATAGCTATCCTAGGTAGAATATGTCATTATGGAGCTAAGTAAGGTTATTATGTCATTTTTGAGGAAAATAAGCTAAGTATAGGTCATTTTGGAGCTAAGTAGGTCATTTCTTAAGCTAAGTATGCATTTGTTAAGCAAAACACTTGGGAAAACTTACCATCATCACGGAGGTGAAGGAACGGTTGGGTTTGCGCCAGTGCCAGATAGAGAAGGACCGGTCG